CCTCTGTTGGGCACAAGCATGTTAGGCAGATACCATGGGTCCAATGGCTGTTCATGGTTGAAAGGGCAGTTAATCCAGTTTCTAATCCCAGTCTCATAGCCAGAGACTTCCTTTGCCCGAGTGTTTGTGACGTTAGTGGTCTAAAGTAGAGAGGGTTACTTGGTTCCCAGCCTTCTCTTGCTCTAGACCCAGGAGTGCATGGGCCAAAGCTATCTTTGCTTCCAGCACCATTTTGGGGCCTAATTCTTCTGGATTCTGGTATAGATAGTTCTGGCACAGAATGTGAAGGGGAAAGCTGGACGCTTATGCTTACCTGGGAGTGTTTACAGTCACTGGATTGTTGGTGCCTGCTGGCCATCTCTTAATGGTTGGAACTCCACATAGCACAGGGTGTGCCAGCAGCCTCTTCTTACAGGGGTCCCTGGTCTCCCCACGTGAGGTGTCTGGAGTCTACCATCTCTCTTGGCTTCTGTTTCTACTTTGAATTGATAGAGAAGACAGTAGGTGGCCTTAACTATTGGTATCTTTCTTTTATGTAGGATATAAGACTACATTTTCTATTTTTGTTTCCAGATTTGGGCCCTGTCACCAACCATAAAGAACTTGTTTCAAATGCATGCATAAAATTTACAACAGCTGTTGAAATTGTTGCTAGGAATTTTTCCTACTGTTATTTTTAAATTGCAATGCAATTCTTAGCCAAACAAAACATTGTGCCTCATCTGCATAGTAGACACATAATAATCATAAGCTAAAAGTCTGTTGGATAAAAAGCGTCGTGTTCTTTTAAGTAAAACGGCATGAACAAAACCCTTTCTTGCTCTGGAAGGAAGTAATGGTTGCTTTTGCTCGGTCACTTCTTAAATGTCTCTCAGCTGTTTTTGGTGCCACAGTCCAGCAAACCTGACTCTGGGCAAAACCCAGCTCCCCACCTGTCCTTGTAAAGAAGGTTTTGTTGGAACACAGCTGCACTCAGTTCTGTATTGTTTTAACTTCTGTTCTGCCCCAGCAGCCTTGAGCGGTTTTAACAGTCCACACGACTTGCAAAGCCTTACACATTTACTATCTCACCATTTACAGAGAAAGTGTGCCAAGTCCTGTTTTTATGTACTTCTTCCAGAATTCTTTCTAAAGCAGATATGTGATTCATCTGCTTAGTAACATTAAGTCACTTCTTACTGTTGTAAGATAAATCCTGAAGTCTGCAGATCTATTTGTAACCAATCTCAAACCACTCTATTAATATCAAACTCTCTATTTCCTGGTATAACCTGAAGACCAGTTTTAAAAGTTTGGCCCCTGGATTTACTTTGTTGCCTACGTAGTAATCTGGTTCAGTTTTGTTGAAGTTGGCATTTTCAAGGCAGAAAATACACATGGAAATCCAGGTTACATCTTGTTGAAAAATGAGGACTTGGAATGGCACTGGTCCCACAGCTCTAAGTGTTAGTGAATTCCTTCGAGTGATAGTCCTCTCCGTCTGCACACCTGTACTCAGGGGGCGTGACATCAGCATTACACCTTTTCCTCTCCAGTCACCTTTGTTATCTGCCTAGAGCATCCTTTTGTTCTTCAGAACTCTTCATCCTTTAAGACTCAGCTTTGCTGTCAGGTGTCATCAGTCACATCTTCCTCTGGTGCTTGTGGTCCTTATTCATTCATCCTTGTGGTCCTGTTCATCTAGTTAGAGAGGCACTTAGTAAGTACACTGTATCCCGGTCGTCTTCCTGCTCCTTCTTCCCAGCATGCTGCATGACAGGGAGTCGAGGTTTTGGACATTTTCTAAATTGTGTGGTGATAATAGCTAAACAGTTGGAGAACAGTAAAGGATTGGTGAGACAAATATGAATAATTTCCCTCTTAAATGCACGTTCTTTTCCTTTGGGTGCCTCACATAGTTCCCGGGATCTTTCCTCCTCTTGGCTGACAACAAACTCATCTGCTTCTCAGACCGCTGGCACAGTATAACTGTCAGGATCACAAGTGATGGAGTGAAGGGGGGTTTCCTCAATACTCACCTGCACTCCATAAGGCTTAGACGTGTGACTCTGGGGCCGCTTCTCACATGTGTGTGCTTTTGGTGTTTGGTTTTACTTTGTTTTGGGAACATGATCACACTGTGTAGCCCAGGATGATGTAGAATTTGCTATATGGAGCAAGCTGGCTTCAAGTTACTGAGCCTGTTGCCTCAGTCTCCCCAGTGCTGGCACTGTGTAGTGTGCCTCCGCACCTGACTTACATGTGCTCTTGGATAGATGATTTGTTTTCTGGGTCTCAGTTTTTAATTGTAAGTGAGTAGTAATATTAATAATAGCTGCTTCAGAGTTCTTAGGAGAAATGAGTCTGTCTATGGAGAAGCTTGAGAGCTTAACCCGAAGTAAGTTCCCTTTAAATGGAGCTATGTAGTTGATTATTGTTCTTACGGCTTTCTTAATGTTCTGTAGAGACGTGCAGTTAGCCTTCCCTTCCCCAGTTTACACTGCTATGGCTCATGGAAAGTAAAAGCGCTCTGTTAAGCCACACTTGATTTAATTTTAGAATCTTGCATTAGAAGGGAGTGTGGGGGTCAGATGGTTGATAACTACTTATCCAAGGCATCAGTCCTCTGCAGTTCCCAGTTACAGGTGATCAGTCATCTGGAGACTGTAGAACGTTATCAGAACCCTATCAGAACATTACAGTCACAGAAGCTGACCACTTAAAAAATATTTATTTCTACTCTATTTATGGGGTCTTTGGTTGTTGTTTCTGTTTTTTGCCTGCATGTCTGTGTATAACATGCATGCAGGGCTCATGCAGGCCAGAAGAGGGCATCATATCCCCTGGAATATGGAGTATAACTGTAGTTATAGATGGATATAAGCCACCATATGTGTGCTGGGAATTGAAACTGGGTTCTCTGGAAGAGTAGCTGGTGCTTTAACTGCTGAGCTACTTTTAAGTCAAAATGTAATCAAACTTAATATTTCCTTTTTTTAAGGTGCATAATATCTATAAATTTTATTACATTAATTTATACTGTGTGTGTGTGTGTGTGTGTGTGTGTGTGTGTGTGTGTGTGTGTGTGTTCACACAGACACAAACATGCCATAGCACACAATCTGTAGGAGTCAGTTCTCTTCTTCCACCATGTGGGTCTTGAAGTTGAACTTAGGTCATCAGATTTGGCAAATAAGTGTCTACCTGCTGAGCCATCTCACTAGCCCAGATTTATAATCTATATGGAGAGAGAGGAAGGGAGGAGAAATGGATATAACATTCTATGAAATAATCAGACAATAAGTAACTGGTTATGATACCTTCAAGTGGGATGTTAAAGTACTTTAAGGATTACTTATGTCTTTCTAACCTTTCCTGTAGAATGTAGAATTTTCATCCACCTCATTATAATACAATGGTTATGTCATGAAATGATAACTCTACACAACAGAAACGCTACTCAATATCTGTTCATCAGAGGAGCATCAGGGTACATCAGGGAGCTTTTCAGATGGACATGTTACCATTTCCGTCTTTATAGGACTTAAGGCTCCGAATATACTTATCCTGTAGCTACTCATTCAATCTCTAATCATTAAAAAATAAGCTGACCTCTAAGGTTTCATAGAGATAAAATTACTTTAAACTCAATGGTGCACATAGATCATTTTATCAGGTATGACACTGTAGGCTCTTTATTGACTTAAAAGATTTTTTTTTGTGAAAGTGTCATTCTGGAAAACTGCGTATGGTTTTTGTTCTTATAAAGGTACATACTGTTTATTGGCAATGTGTGTCTTGTGACAGTGAAACATTTAGTTCTTTGTCAGTGGTAATTTTTAGCTCTGAGACTTTGCTTTATAGACTCAAATTAAAATAGACTGGAAATTGAGCTAGCAAAATGGGGTGTCAAAGCTTCTATTTTCTAGTGATTCACCTCAAAAACTATAAATAGACAAGCCCTCTCTGAGAGTGATTCCTATACAGTAGTGTAAATGTCACATCTTTGAATAAACAGTCTGTCTCTAGTTTGCTCACATCACACTTAGAATACAGAAACTGGCCACTTCAGAAGGAGTGTGCATTATTTAAAGTTCATTTATATGTGTTTTGCTTTTTAATTTTTGTTCTCTGCAAAAAGTAGAGATTTTTTTTTTTTTTGCCACTGTAATCCATAGTCCTCCAAAATAGACGAACTCAAGCCAGTACAAGTGGTTCTCACACTGGCCCAGGGGTCCTGTTTCTTCAGGAGTCTTTCTTCTCTCTCCACCTTTCTCAGAAATCCCTGAAGACCCTGGAAGCAGGGGTGTGTGTGTGTGTGTGTGTGTGTGTGTGTGTGTGTGTGTGTGTGTTATGTGTATGTGTGCCTGCACGAGTATTTTTTCTTGAGCAAGTTTTCATGACCTTGAGCAAAGGTTTTTCAGACATGTTCGTGGGTATATTTGGCTGATATGAAATATAACATAGACTTCTCAAGCATGTGTGACATGTCTACGACTCTGGCCCTGGGGAGACAGAGACAGGAGGGCCCTGAAGCTCAGTGTCCAACCAGCCTAGGCAACCAATGAGCTTCAGGTTCTTCAGACACCTGTCTCAAAACCTAAGGTGAAGTGCAATAGAGGAAGACACCCAGCACCCACCCCTGACTTCTACCCTCACATGTGCACAGATGCAGCCACCCACCCAGCCCCGCACACCCACATAAATAAAAAATATCCCTAAGGATGAGTGAATGGTATGTATATTTGGGGTGTACTTTGGAGAACTTACTTGGAAATTGCCCAACCTCAAATGAGAAAACTTAAAAATAGCCCACTAGGATATATTCTGTAAAGTCACTCTTGACATTTGAAGAGTTGCAGGACTCTTGCTGTTTGTCTTTACAGTAGGTCATTCATTGCATTAGATAAATCCATAAAGACACCATCTAGAGTACATCCTGACGCAGTCCCCAAACTGTCATGTCTCCTTATTTTCCCGATGTTATATAAATGTTACATCTATCTATCTGTTTCTTTCAGTTGGATATGCCAAGTGACCAGTTAACTGCTAATCTTCAAGCAGTTATAAATGAAGTCTGCAGGCACAGACCACTAAATCTGGGTGAGCAGCTGGGTGAGGGTGGACTTCCTTAAACCCCAGTGGTACTTTACTGTAATGTAACTATTAATATAGTAGAAATATAAACTAGTCCAAGAGTTAACATACAAGTGCTATAGCCATAGTACTTCCAGGGATTAAATAAATAAAATAAAATGTATTTTTCCAAAGGATTCTTAATTACCTTATTTATGAACATAAGGTTTTAGAGAGGGACTTCTTTATCAATAATAAAGAATATACCCCCAGACCTTTGTAAATTTGCCTGTTATTTCTACTGTTAAATGTATTAAGGTTTAAAGAAAACGAATTGCTTTAAAATTACAGTGGTGTTACATAGGAAAGAAAGTCATTTATGAAATAGTTTGAAACCAGTTGGCCTTCTGAATCTTTGTTTTCTAACAGTAAGTAGGGATTTTTGTCATGTCAGAAGAGTCCTCGTGTAAACGGGTGACTCTCACATCGTAGGGAGAGTCACTAACTCGGACACTGTAACAGCAGAACACAAGTTACTCCTGGGCCCTTTGGCATGGCCTGTGTCCCTCCAAACACAGCCCACACTGTGGGTGCCTGAAGACAGCTCGTCGTGCTCCAGTGACAGTCCCCGTGCAGCTCCCATGCAGGGAGTTTACGGGTTTACTTCTGTAACCAAGTCAATTAAAACACGTTTGCAATACTTCTGCCGTCCTTGAGAATTAAGCACATTGGTGATTAATTAAATATCCCATTTACTAATTCTTTCACCAAAACATGGCCAAAGACACCATGTGTATACAGATTCTTATATTCCATAGGGAACTTTGATCTTCTGAGCTAGCTAGAGAATAATGGACAATACAGTCTCTAAAAATTATTTTTCTCTTTTTGCCATTTTAGATGAAGCCTCTTAACTTTGTTCTTAGAAAAAGTCTTTTAATTTGTTGAGAATTTTTTCAACTGTTTGGTACTCAGAGTACCAAACACAGATGGTAATCTGTGCTGACTGCTTCAGATAAGTATTTAGAGTGTTTCCAGCAGATGTAAACTTCACCCTGCTCCCTTCGCTGTTGATGGTGCAGTACGTAGATACGAGGTGAACATCTTCTGGAGGAAAGGAATGAATTACCAGTGAGTGTGTCCTTCCCAGGACGACTCGGGTGCAGTGAGAGCTTTCTAGGGGAGAGTTGGAGTCCCACAGGCTTTCCTAAGCATGTGTGCGTGGGCTCCATGGGGCCGCAGTGAGAAAGCCACAGCGGGTTCTTACCTTTCTTTGTTCCAGGTCCGTTTGTGGTGCGTGCCTTCCTTCGTAGTTCAACCAGTGAGGGTTTGCTGCTCAAGACCGACACGCTGTTGCCCAAAGAAGCTGAAACCAAAGAAGCTGCCTGAGAGTTGTGTTGTGAAATTATTGGGGGACAGGATTAAAAACAACAGAGAAATCTATAAAACTGTGTCATTTCTAGTTTGGTTCCTTGTGTTTTCTTGATCAGTATATTTAGAAGTAAATTTTAACACCTTTTTTTTTTTACAGTTTCAAAAATAAATGTCAGTTTTTAAAAATGCTTTCACATTTCCTTTGTTTAATTTTTATTGTTGTTTATATTTTTCTGGTGTTGGATCCTGTCACATATTCTTCCTTAGCATCAATGTTCTGTATTTTGGTAGAATCTGGGTCTAGAAGCAATTTCTAGTTTTATAACTTTCCTTCGGGAGCAGTAATAACAGCATCCTCATTCCCAGCAGGCCTCATCACAAACTGTTTGCCTTTGTGTGCATGGCGGGTGGAGGCGTGTGGGTGTGGAGTCCAGAAGTCCAAGCGGGGTGTCTTCCTCAGTTGCTCTGCACTTTGACTCTTAGACACTAAATGTGGGGCTCCCCAGTTTGTCTAGACTGACTGGCCAGTGAGCTCCAGGAATCCACTGCCCCACCTTCCAAGTCCCCAGTATTTTAGCAGCCTGAGGAGCTCAAATAACCAGGAAAAACTACCTCACCTCATAAAGCTTTTTTCCCCATTGGAAAATTAAAGTTTAGGCACCATTTACCAAACACAGCAGGAACAGGACAAAATACTAACAGTGACTGTCTTTACTGGACGTGTTCTACCCTCCCATTTCCCCGTCATAGGCATAGTTAGGGAAATGGGATGCCCAGTTTCCATGGAAAAGGAGTTAACTTGTGTGAGATCAACACGCAGTCAACAAGAGCAGTGTGCTGAACTGGAGATCTTTCTGACTCAGGATCCAAGTGCCCGGACTCTAGGGGTGTGCCACATGCCCAGCCTGTGGGCTTTCTTAGCCACTGTTTCAACCACCCAGCTAAGTCACTGCCTTTTCATGTGTTCTAAGATAGACCAAACTTACTGCTACAGTTTCAGATTTTTAAAGTATTGAATCAAAGTACTGAAGTTTCTTGATTCTCAGGCACTGGTCAGAGTTGGGCTCTGATTTCCCAGAACTGGAGTTGCAGATGGTTATGAGCTACCCCATGTCTACTAGGAACTGAACCCAGGTCCTCTCTGCCAGTGCTCTTAGCCGCCGAGCCTTCCCTCTAGTCCTGCATATGTGCTGTTTGAAAGGAATCATGTCTTTTATTCAAATCTCATGGGAAATGAGTCACATTTCATCTCTTTATTGCACCATTCCCTCAACTGCTGGGCATTAAAATGGTTTCAAGGCCCCCCACCCACTGGTTTTTAAAAAGTAAGCGTTTAGTTTTACAGTGAATACTGGTGAATCCCAGACTTTGCTTACGTACGAATTACTTGGAAGGCTTGCAAAGCACAGGAATTGGTCTTCACCCGGCAGTAGGAGCTTGACCTCAGAACTTAGCATTTCTCATCAGGTAGTGCGACTTTGGGGACACTAGGGGGTACCATGCTACCAACCCTGATTGTAAGAAAAAGAAATTCTGATTTTCAGACCAACATCTGTTTGTTCTAAAATTATACAAGTGATCAAAGTGCCAGGTGGAAAGTCACTGCTGTTTTCACTAGCCAATTTATGATTGCAAAATCTGTAGTATAAATCAAGATTTTAGATACATTTTTAAATTAACCTTTATTTTATTTTATGTGTATGGGTGTTCCGTCTGCACACCATGTATGTGCCTGCCAGAAGAGGGTGTCAAAGCCCCTGGAACTGGAGTTATAAATAGTTGTGAACCATCACACGGAGTGCTGTGTGTGTTTAATCCCAGCGCCGTCTCTCCAGCCCCAAGATTTTTAAAGATTTAGATAACAAAAACACACATGCCCTGAACCTAGAGCCGGAAGACGTTTCTAACTTTCGAGTCTATTCCTGTCTATAAATAAAATTCTGTGGCAACCCCACGGACAAGCAAGTTGTCATATAAGACAAACAGGGTGGTGACAAGATGATCACTTGATCCCAAACACCCTCTTACAATACACCTCTCAGTAAGTGGCATGTAGTCGAAGGTGATGTCGTAAGGCATTAATTAGCATACTAATGTAATACACAAGAGAGACAAATTTGGTAACTTGTTAACAAAACCAGACACTTTGAATTTTTATATCAAGCAGTTGACCTCACTGTCCAGTAGGTGGCGACAATATCCTTTCATATGGCTTTTAGATGGTTGTAGATTGAATTGATTTCTCACCTGACCGCAAATTAAATAGTAAAGATAATCCTGTATAGACCAGTTGGAGTTTTGCTTAGAGTAAATGGTTTGTTTGTATTCTATTTTGGTCACGTTGCAGAGGTTTCTTTGGATGTCTAATGGATACTTACAAGTTTTTTTTGTGTCTAAGTGTGTGTGTCTGGATATGCATGGACAGGTGCACTGCACATACAGGTTCCCACAGAACCAGAGGACAGCAGTGGAGCCCTTGAAGTTGAAGTTACAGGTGGCTGTGAGCTGTCCAACACAGTGCTTGGAACCAAACTTGGATTGTTTGAAAGAACAAGAAGTCGCCTTGATCACGGGGCTGTCTGTCCAGCCTCTACTTTGTAACCCTGAGTTTGTTACTATAGAACATTTCAGAGGTGAAGGAAATAAAATAAGAAAACCGTGGACACCCACTTGCACATCAACCAGATTTGGCAGCTCAACATTCTGGTATGCTTCCGTCTGTGTTTTTACCTACTCACCTCCGTAATTAATGGCCAATCCCATTTATCGTACAACTTAACCTAAGAAATTTAAAAAGCAGCCAAACTATAATTACAAGTTTTTATTTTTCAAAACCCATTGTTTCTGTGTTTCAATATAATCATTGTGAATCATTCATATTTCTTTAATAAATATATTTTTTCACATGATAATGGACAGAATAGACTAGTACTTGGAGAACTCCGGGCATAGAAACATGATTGGCCACAAAAGGGGATATGTAAATGTTAATGTTTAAAAAAATAAGAATTGTATTCCACTTAATTTTCTTAGATATAAAGTTGTAATTTATTCTCATAAGGGATAGAAAAGGTTTGAAGAGACCTAGATCTAAACATGCAAAGTTAGAGAAAATAATTCTTTTGGGGTCAACAAAATGCTCAGAGGCACTTGGTGCACATGACCTAGCAGCCACTGTTCAATCCTCAGAACCCACAAAGATGGAAGGAGAGAACCAACTCCACCAACTTGATCTTTAACACAGCAGTCACACACACACACACACACACACACACACACACACACACACACACACACAGAAGAGGGGGTCGACAAATGAACAATATTTTTACAAATAGAAACACTTGAAATTTTGTCACATAGATAAACACAAGGAAAAGTTTGAAGAAAGATGTTAGTGTCCTGTAAATTCCAAGGCAATTTAAATTTGTTATATTTCCTTTTTTTCTACTCCCTTGTTGAGGGCACAAAGGTCCTTGCACCCACAGATCACTGGGGAAACCAGGGATGTCAATCATGCAGGAGTGTTTCCTCAAAGGAGGAAATAACTTCTTTTCCTCCTAGAAGGTTTGGAGTGGATATTGTTAAGGACCTGTGACCTTTTGTTATCTGTAGAGGCAGACCTCATCCAAATCCCCCAGAATGTCTATCCCAGACTCTCTATCCCTAGATCTTTATCTTTAGCTCCCAGTTAATAGAACTCATACTTAGGGGAGATATCACATGTACTTTATAGCATGTTGACCTCTATGTTATCTTAGAGACCACATAAATTCTAGGCTCTTAAGCTACAGAACCCACCCTCATGGTCACTTGTACTTTGTAAAGGAGCTTCTATGTGGTCACACCGTAAGCTTTATTTTGCACCTGGTATTGGAATGACTGTTGTCTGGATACCTTTTTTCCAAATTCTGTTATGTTTAAGTATGCCTACAGTAAACTGCCTGGCATCAGACTCTAGAAGTTTTGATTCAGGTTGATGAAGTCAATGTGAACCGAGTTTTCATTCTCTAATCTTTGCAGTTCATTTTCCTGCCTATTGTGACACCTGTAGGGACCCCTCACTCCATATGTGGACATTTGCCCTACCACTGCGAAGGCCCACGTTACTTAGGAGCCAAGAATCTGAGCTTGCTTTACACAGCAGGGCTGCATAAGGTGATGATTGGACCAAAGGCATGGTTACCAGGTGTTTGGAAGAGTCTACACTTGGCTGTGCAGTGTGCTTTGATCTAGCAAGGGGGAGGTCTTTTGCCCCACCCCTTGGCATTATTATAAAAAGATCTTTTGAAGAGGCAGAACAAACTGTTGGGTTTTGATCCAGGTCCTCCCAAAGCTATCCTGTGTTTCTGTCTTTCTCCTCTTTGCTATCTTTCTGTCTAAAAGTTTCTTATCCCTCTCTCTTCCTCATAGGAACCCTTTTCAAAGGTGGGAGCTGGCCTCCCACAGATGGTGCCAGAGCTAGGAACTTGGGTGCAGAGGAGATAAGGGAGAGTAAGGAGCACCGTGGAACATGGTTGGACATGTCCAGTTATGAATTATGAAAATGTTAAGTGGTGGTATTTTATTCTTCAAGAGCAAAAACTGAATATAGATAAAGCAGTGTGGCTACAAGTTAAGCCAAAGCAAGTAATAAAAGTTAAGCTATAGCAAGTATCTCTCTCTGTATGTTTCTCTCTCTCTCTCAATTTCTATCTATTAAATTAGGTAAAAATATAGGGTTAGGTATACAGATATTGCATAGGCTTAATAGGAAGGAATTTAGGGTAAGAGTAGAATTTCCCTAGTGCCAGATCTGGCACAGAAAACAGTATCTGGGAACAAGCAGCCACTGCAGACTTAGCATTCTGAGAAAGAAAAGTTGATATGGGGCAGGGAAATAGTAGGCAGATGTTTGTATATTCACTTGTAGGGAGTTTGAAAACTAGGGGACGAGGTAGAACAGCAACAAGTGCAGAGGTTCTTGAAGTTCATAGAGGAACTGTGTCCTTGTGGGGAGAATTGGAGTCAAAATGCAACAATATTATGAAGAACATGGGCTGGAAAAGATTCCGGTGGAAGCTTTTGGCCTATGGGCATTAATTTGGGACAGTTGAGTTCTGAGTCCTGAGCAGCAGGGGGAATTTTCCCTGAGGTGGACATAGGCAAGACAAAACCTTCCACTCTACCAGAGCTGTTGCTAGACAGGGGCATTTTTACAAAATCAATCAGGGTCAGTTCCCTCTTGGCCATGAAACTGAGTTTAAGGAACAAAAGTTTTGGTATGAGACAAGGGAGGAACTAAAGGGCTTGAGAGACTTAGGAATTTCTCTTTCTCAAAAACTGGAGGCTCTTCAGGTCTCTCCTCAGAATCGTACTCATCTTCCTTCTGTAGGGGCAGAATTAGACTCACCTGGGGGGTCATCTATCAGAATAACAAAGTCACCCATTATTGTCCTGGCACAAAAGTCTCCTGAAACATTGCAAATCCTATCTGCTGGTCCTGTATCTCCTCTTCAAGCCAGTATTAGGGAAGCAGTTAGCAGAGGGGAGAAAGTGCAAGGATTTCAAATGTTCCCTGTAATTGAACAGCCAGACGCCGAGAATAATATAGTGTGAATGCATGTAAATAGAGCTGGGGGTGCCAGGATTGCAACTGGCCATGGCTGGGTTTCCTCCTGGACCCAGAAGGGCTGCTTGAGAACCGTAGCTCATAGCAGTGGGGCAGCATTCTGCTGTGCAGCATGAGGCATGAGAGAACCCTTGGCTTCACGATGCCGGGGTCTCTAAGCAGGCAGGCCCAGAGATGGGAGGCACAGACAGCCTGGGACAGTAAAAAAGAAAAGAAAAGAAAAACAAAACAAAAACAAAAAACACTGAATGGAGCCAGCAGCCAAAGTCATGCAGCTTCTGTTTGCTGCCTGTGTAGAGAGCTTTTTCGAGAGGACTCTGCAGCATCTCAGCTATGGTAACGAGGTGATGCAACCTTCTTCCTGAGGCAGAGTTCCTAGGGTAAGACTGCCATAAAATGTTGCTGTAACTGAAAGCAAAGTTTCAGAGGCTGTTTGAACTGGACTGTTGCTTTCAGGGGAACTGCCAAAAATTTTGGTTATGGGTTTCTTTGTATTTGGAACTTTAAGACTGTTATCAGAACTGTCTTTTGGAATTTTTCAGACTTGAGAAATGGGATGGACAAGAGTGATTCAATTGCAATGGGACAATTTTTACTTTACTTACACATATAGACTCTATCAACTGTGATGACTTAGGAATTGCTTTGTGTTTTGTGTATGCATATATGCTTTATTAACTGTGGTGACTCACAATTCATGTACCCTCTGTTTTGTTGGAAGAAAATGCAAATAGTTCTGTTAAGAGATCTCTCCTAGATGTTTGCTAAAGTTTGTAAAGTGTAAATAGTCCTGTAGAGCATTTGCTTTTGGATGTAAGTTTGTAAGAATTGTAAATATGTATAGCAATGTTCATGCTAGAATTATGTTAATCTGTTGATATTGATGAACCATGGTTTGATGAAGCTAAGTGAGTCTTAAGTTTGATGCAGTTGCATCAGGAGTTTATTGATTTATTTGATGCAGTTGCATCAAGAGTTTATTGACTTAAAAAGGGGCTTGGCACAGCTAAGGTTGTTATAGACATCTTAGACCCATTCAAAATGGACATTCTATCTTGGTCATCCTCTACTCCTTTACTGGGGTGTGTGGCAGCCATAGAGATTGCTGTGATTGTTCCAGCTACTTGCAAGCTCTTAGTGGAAAAGCTGATTGAGAGCTGCATGGAGTTATGCTCTGTACTCCCACTTGCGAGTTATATTATTAGGAAGGGGGAATTTGTGGAGGCCCACATTATTCAGGGTCAGAGAATCTGAGCTTGCTTTATCCAACAGGGCTGCATAAGGTGATGATTTGACCAAAGGCATGGTTACCAGGTGTTTGGAAGGGTCTATACTTGGCTGTGCAGTGTGCTTTGATCTAGCAAGGGGGAGGTCTTTTGCCCCACCCCATGGCATTGTTATAAAAAGCTCTTTTGAAGAGGCAGAACAAACTGTTGAGTTTTGATCCAGGTCCTCCTGAAGCTATCCTGTGTTTCTGTATTTCTCCTTTTTGCTATTTTTCTCTCTGAAAGTTTCTTATCCCTCTCTCCTCCTCATAGGAACCCTTTTAAAAGGTGGGAACTGGCCCCCTACACACCACTAGCACTACTAATTACAATACCAGTTACAATACTATAATATTATTGGGTAGAGAGGGCAAAAGGAGACATCTTGGCTCTGAAGTTTCCCACATGCCTAGTGTTTCAGTCACTTTAAATTGAAAAACAAGAAGAATCTATGTGTTAAATGAAAAGTATAGTATTTTGTATATTGCCAAGAGTAATCTATGGTGGTATAAAGAATGGTAAATGATTCATATTTTATGTTCGTAATTAAGGGGCCTGGAGTATAACACAATGGTAGAGTGCTCGCCTAGCATGGTGGAAGTCCTATTTTTATCTCCATCACTTCAAAATAAGTAAAGAAATAAGTACAACTCTAATGTCATGCAGGAAAATATGACTAGAACATAAAGACAATTGAATGGCTATAATTATCACCTATAGTTGGCATTATAGTAGGTAATTGTGCTCATTTTTAAAAGTTAAAGTATTGTTATGTAAATTATGGGAACTACCAAACTTCCAGTGTGGTTGTATCATTTACATTCTTGCCACCTATGTGACTCTTATACTTTCTTCACATCTTTCAATGTGCCATTTTTTTGTTGAGCCCTTCTAGTGGGCATGTAGTAGTTATCTACTTTGAGAAAATGAGTTATTTACTGAAAAAGTTTTCAAGTGTGTATTAGTGGGAAAAGAGAGTAAGCTTATTCTGTGAGGCTTTGGGAGCAGAGCTTGGCAGAACTCATTTATAATCTGGGGATGCTGTATTGTGGTTGCTCTTTAGCTACCGTCCACAGACATTGACTGCCTTCACCAGAGAGAGGGTGTATCATAAGGGCGTGATGCTTTGAGTCACAGACGGAAAGTAAAGTCAGATCGGTACTGGGAAAGTCCAAGAAACCGAACACTCTCAGAAGATCCATGTTGCAGAAACGAGTGGAGTGTCAGACAACAGCTGGCAAGGTGGGTCAGCTCTGTGTTGTGAACTTGTCTCTACTCAAGAGTTAAGAGGAAAGTGTCCGTTTGGTCCGATTTACTTTACATGTCTACCTGCTGGCTAGGAGAAAGCAGAATTGATAATATCGCCAGAAATGTACATTGTGAGGTAGAAGAAATTCCCCCAAACGAATATTACAGTGACTTTCTAAAAGATCAGCAAAAAGAGCAAAACTTGGACCCACCTATTTTTTCAATTAAATATCTCCTGTAAGTCAGTGAAATCAATACCTATATTCAACTCAAAATACTAGCTGTATACCATCACACATGTGACACTAATCCTTGGACAAACATGGTTTTTCTAATACATCGTTTTGCTGAATGTAATTGTCACGTCTCTTTGATAGTATGTACAGCCACTTTTCTAGAGTAGATTATGAGAAAGAGCATGGGCATATGGTGGTGGTGAAGAACACTTTGGAGCCCAACTCTGTGTGGCTGTACATTGTTACTGTTACCCAGGAATGAAGTGTTTATTGATGTATAAAATAAATTTGAAAATATGATCAAATAGTAAGTAGACAGCTTGATGAATTTTCCCAAAAGGACACATGCCTACAATACAGATCCAGAAAGAGGCTAAGGTCAGCACCCCAGAAGTTCTCTTGTTCATTTTGTGCAATCTATCCCCAAATTAATACTTTGTGATTTCTATTTTGCCTGGTTTTGAACCTTGCTGAAAATAGGACTGGGAAATTGACTGGGCTCATTCATTGGATATTTATGAAGTTTATCCATGTTGTATGCAGTTATGGTTTGTTTTGTAAAGAATCTCATGGGATTGTGTCACAAATATCCATGCTACTGTTTGTGGACATGTAGACTGGTGAACCAACCCTAACATTTATTAACATTGTTCCCCAGCTCTTTTGGTGACTACATATGCATTACTGTTTTAATATATACCCAAGAGTAGATCTGTTGAATCATAAATTAGCCAGTCTTCCCAAACATAATGCTCAGCAATGTTTCAAAGTCATTGTTCCAAGAGATGCTCCCTATGTGGAGAGAGTGCTGGGTAACTTGCCAATAACATTTTTTTTTAAATTTTAACAATTTTGCTGAATGTAACATTGTTTTGAAAGTTTTAGAGAACTTTAAAATACTATTAGTGAGGAAAACAGCATTTAGGATCTCATCCTCACTGATTAAAATTATAGCATGATAATCTAGAGCTTAATAGGAGTCATAGAATAAAGTTCTTTAAGGAACTGCAAGCACTGAGAGATGGGAGGTATCCAGGGCTTTCTCACCCCAGCCAGTCACTGTCCTCCAGGAGGGAACATCTGTCTTGGCTATTCTGTAGACTAAAAGACCCCTTTTTAAAGTTGCTTGGGGGAAATAAGACTCAGGGATCTTTGTATTTAAATTCTAATATTTGATAAAATCAGATCCATAATCTTTTTAAATTTATTTCCAGTACATGTTGCAATTTCGGAGATTACTGCTTTTAATCTAGAGTGGGAACTGCAAGCTCATGGCTAACACGCTGTCATCACCCATTTGCAGCAAGGTATGTGACATGCTACGCATGGCCCCGGCATCTGGGGGGCTTTAATCTCCATTGTCAGCCTGACTGGGGTTCGAGTCATCCAGGAGGCCCTCCTCTGTATATCTTCTAGGATGTTTCCAGGGAGGCTTAACTGACGAGGAAAGATTCACTCTGAGGATGGGTAAGCTTACTGCATAGGCTGGGGTCCTGGACCAAACAGAAAGTCAACAAGTAGAAACCAATCTGAGTACCAATATTCCTCCGACTTTGCTTCCTGACTGCAGACTCAGTTTGACCAGCTGCCTCATGTTCCCACCACAGCTAGATAAGCTTCTCTTACCACCATGCATCCCCTGCCATGATGGCATGTATCCTCAAACCTATGCTTGTTACCAGGTGCTCCGTCACCCTGCAACACAGTAACTAGTCCATCTTCCCACAGACTTCTATGAGGTCAAGGGATCTTTCATGCTACTTTTTAAATGACTCATCTTCTCACAAATTCATAGAGCACAGTGTGACAGTTTAACATGTGATGGTTATTTACAGGGTCATTTTGCTGAGAGCTCCACTCAGTTGTACTGTTGATTAGAAGGGTGATAGAAGATTAAAAGACTTTCTCATCCTGTACTTCAAAGTACAGGGTAATTTGCCGAGTCTCACAATTTTTTCAAGTGTTGCTGTTGTTGGTTGTCTCCAAATTAGACTGACCAAAAGGTGACTCCTTCTTAGGAAGCTGTAATTTAAATGTATTACTTAGTCACACCAAGGAGCTGGCTGACTTTCAGGTTTGCTGTAATTTGCTTTTAACTTTTCCGTGTTTTTAGTTAATAATTATTTTTAAAATTTTAGATTAGGCAAAATTCTCAGATGTTTGCTTCAGTTTCATGAGTCAAAGTAATTTAGAGGAAGCGAGTTGGTAGAGGAGGAGAGAAGGTACAGCTTCTAGGGCAGCCAGTTGCAGAGTCCTTGGAAAGCTGGGGACCGATCTCATGTTGCTTCACGTTGCCTGATCCAGTCTTCACCACCCAAGAGAGCGGGACCCCCTTTCTCCTCCCTTTTAAGAGGTCACATAGGCAGGCAAGAAACACCACCTCTATCAGGCCAACTAGTCCAAGGTCATGGGTGGAGCAAATACCCACTGCAGTAATCTCTTGTAAAATTAAAATAAAAAAGCAGATCACATACTCCCAATATATAATAGCACAGGATATACATTACCATTCCAAAACATAGGGAAGGAAAATCAGTGAGGATGATATTTTCTAGTTCCATTCATTTGCCTAGAAACCTCATGATGTCATTGTTTTTCTCTGCTGAGTAACATAAACACAGGTCTATGCCTTTGACCTGTGTTTCTTCTCCTTCCTCTATTCCTACTATTCGTAGATTTGGTCTTTTCATGGTACCAGATTTCTTGGATGTTTTGTGTCTGGGTTTGGGTTTTTTTTGATTTAACATTTTCTTTGTCCAGTGTATCATTTCTTCTATCTTGATTTCAATACCTGAGATTTTCTCTTCCTTCTCTTGTATTCTCTTGGTGAGGTTCTTGCTAAAGTTCCTTAAATTTTCATGTCCAGTTTCTGTAGCTTGAGTTTTCCTGCCTGGCCCACAATTAGGACAAATCTGTCACCCACCAGTCCCACAGCCTCTCAGACCCAACCAAGTAAACACAGAGACTTATATTGCTTACAAACTGTATGGCCGTGGCAGGCTTCTTGCTAACTGTTCTTATATCCGAAATTAATCCATTTCCATAAATCTATACCTTGACATGTGGCTTGTGGCTTACCGGCATCTTCACATGCTGCTTGTCATGGTGGCAGCTGGCAGTCTCTCTCACTCAGCCTTCCACTTCCCAGAATTCTCCTCTCTCCTTGTCCCGCCTATATTTCCTGCCTGGCCACTGGCCAATCAGTGTTTTAATTATACAGGACGATATCCACAGCAAGTTTCCCCTCAGTTTGGGTTTTCTTTATTGATTCTATTTCTATTTTTATGTCTTTAAACAGTTTTCTTCATTTTACTGTTTATGTTTTCATAGCTTTCATTAATGGATTTATTCATATCCTCTATAAGGTCCTTGGTCATATTCATAATAGCTTTTTTAAAGTCCTTGTCTTGTGCTTCAGCTGCATTGCATTTCTCAGTGCCTGTTGTTGTAGGGTTGCTGAACTCTAGTGAAGACATATTGTCCTGGCTGTTATTGTTTTTATTCTGATGTCTAGGCATTTGGGTTTGGATGACTGTAATTCTCAGTGTTAATATCTGATCTGGTCTTTGTTGGGTGGGTTTTCCATTCCTTGGTTTCTATTTCCCTCTCTGGATTTTAGGAGCATGTGGTAGCTATGGGTTGCCTTTAGGGGGTACTTTTAAGTCCCTGCTAGGTGTGACCACTGAGGATCCTAGAGAGAATTTGTTTCTAGGTATTGAGAGCTGAACCACTGGAATGGGGGTGAACTAGAAGGGCAGAGGGCTGAAAGGGTCCACAGCAGGGAGGAAAGATGGGTTTTCCAAGGGGATCTGATTCTCTGGTGGGCATGGCCAGCAGGTTTCCAGCAAGAGGGTGTCTCCAGTGTTGGGGGTAAGATGATGGTATGGGGTGAGGAAGGAAGGCTGCAGGAGAGGATCTGCTTAGTCCCTGGGAGTGGGGACAGAGAGGAAGGAGGGAGTACAGCAGGTGGCTGGCTGCCAAGCCAGGGATAGGAATGGGGAACTGGAATTGAAGGGTGGGAAAGAGAGTAAAGATTAGTTACCTGACTTCCTGGTGATTGTGGCCAGTGCATTTTCAGGGAGGCACTGCCTTGGGTGATGGAGGTGAGACAAGGGGATGGGGTGAGGAAGGAACACTGTGGGATTTGCTTAGTTCCCTGGGAGTGCTTTGTTGATCATTGAAATGGGATTGTTTTTCAATTTAATTTTTTGATTTTGTTCATTAATAGTGTATAGAACTGTAGTTGATTAAACTTGATTATATATCTTTAATAGTTTAGTGTGTGTGTGTGTTTTGTGTGTGTGTGTGTGTGTGTGTGTGTGTGTGTGTGTGTGTGTGTGTGTTCCACAGGATTTTCCAATTACAAGATCAAGTGGACTCTACTAGGCCATTTTACTTCTCCATTTGTAATCTGTAGGTCTTTTTTTATTTGTTTTAAAAATATTTTTAAATTTATTTTTGAGATTATAATATAGTTACATCATTTTCTCTTTCCTTCCTTCAGACCCTCCCATAAAAGCTCCCTTGCTCTCTTTCAAACTCGTGTTCTCTTTTTTCATTAATTATTGTTACATGCATACTCACCTGAACACCTCCTTTTGAGGACTAGCTTTCAGTACCAGAAGGTGCATACAAGCTTCCAAAGATGGGAAGCAACCAATAACTGTGTAACTATGAGCCTGTGAACCACAGCGACAGCCAGCATGGCGTGACAGCCTTAAGGGTGCAAGAGTGGAGCACACAACTTGGTTGGTTAAGTATGTGTGTTTCCGTGTTTATTGTGAAGTGATTTTGATTTTTTTTTTTTTTGGTTTTTTCGAGACAGGGTTTCTCTGTGTAGCTTTGTGCCTTTCCTGGGACTCACTTGGTAGTCCAGGCTGGCCTCGAACTCACAGAGATCCGCCTGGCTCTGCCTCCCGAGTGCTGGGATTAAAGGCGTGCGCCACCACCGCCCGGTCTGATTTTGATTTTTTAAGAAATGTTCATTCTATACTTCTTGTGATGGTATAAACTATATTATTTATTCTATTGACATGAAATACACTCACTAATTTTTAAATGTTAAACCAACCTTGTATTTCTAGGATACATTGCATAACCTTTTTTTTTTTTTCAATGTGGGTTAATTCAGTCCGTTAATATTTTGTTGTGGATATAATTTTTATTCTTAATATATTTTTGTGTAATTTTGGTGTTTGGACAATACTGACCCCATAGGCTGAGTTAGGGAACTCAGTCCTATTTTAGAAGCGCTGACCAAGAATTATAATTAATTCTTTCTAAAAGTTTTTGGTTACATTTTGTAGAAAAACCATCTGGGCCTAAGCTTTTTTTTCCTGGGTAGTTTTTGATTATTCGGCGAGCTTTAGCAGCCTGTGTCTAAGGGGAGAGCTCATTAATTTGCCATTTTCACTCATCTCAAAGTGTTTTCCAATTTCCCTTTTGGTTTCTTTGGTCCATTATTTATTTAATGGCCCATCATTTAATTTGTGTTAAAATTTGAAATTTAAGCTAATGGCTTATAATTCACTTACCTGTGGCAGCTGGAGAATATACTTTGTATGATTTCAGTCCTTTCAAATTATTTGCTTGAGGTTTGGCAATCACGTGATCTATCCTAAATCATGTCCCATGTAGCATGTGTGTTCTGCTGTTGCTGGCCAGAGTGTTAGAGGCCTGTTCTAGCTGTCCAAATATGTCACCCTTTCATCAGGTAATATAAGGAAATACATTTTTAATGTATCAATGAAATAAGTATTACCTGCCCCTCCCCTTACCCCATAGTTTTCTTTCATTTTTTATTGAGAGGATTTACACAGTGTTGTGACTTTTAGGAATACATATAAAAGTTGTCCAAATTCTTGTATTCTTCAATTGGACACATTTTTTTTCCTTTGGGGATAAAACCCAGGAATTCGTATACACTAGGCATACCCTGTACACTGAAGTACAAATGTAGTCCCATAAACTTTTTTTCTTATAAAATTAATGATTTGGGGGCTGCCAAGATGATTCAGCAGAAAGGGTGCTTCCCACCAACCCTGATGACTTAAATTCAATCCAAGGAACCTTGTTGTAGAATATTTAACTATATAAAGATGTTACATTTGATTATGCTGTGGAATATTACTCTATGTGAAGGTGTGTTACATTTGTTTCTGCTGCCTTTGTTAACCATGTAAAAAGTGTTACATTTGTTTCTGCTGCCTTTGTTAACCATGTAAAAAGTGTTACATTTGTTTTTGCTGCCTTTGTTAACCATGTAAAGATGTGTTACATTTGTTTCTGCTGTATTTGCTTAATTATG